CTAAAGGTTAGCCCTTTAGTACCGGTTTGTGCCACGAACCGGTACTAAAGGACCTTTAGTACCGGTTTGTGCCACGAACCGGTACTAAAGGTGATCGTGGGGCCCCAGCCTGACGCCAGCCTGCCATCACCCCTTTAGTACCGGTTCGTGGCACGAACCGGCATTAATGCATAGTCGTTCGAACCGGCACTAATGATACCATTAGTGCCGGCTCAAATTCAAACCGGCACTAATGTGCTTCACGTTTGACCATTTTTCTACTAGTGTATTTAGAAAGTTATACTTGACCAAGTTCCATAATTCAAGAAATTATTTTACCTTATCCTTTACTCAGGTTGTACCATGAGATTGGGTGAGGTTTGATTTGATAAAATATAAGATTGTTTTTGCAAATGGTTTGTACCATGTGGTGAGGGATGATTTGATGTAAAAACATAGGGTTGTTTTTACAAATTTGCTAGAGACGGGTGGTCTGTCCAATAAGGTTTAGCGGCCTCCCCTCCTATTTCAAAACTAAATTTTATCAAGGAAACACACATTATATTATATATAACCTAAAAAGTATACCATTGGATTTGCATTCGAAAGATCTTTTCACTGGTATATTGTTAGGATATAACCAGGGGGTTGGGCGGGTGGATGTGCTGAAGCGGGCCGACAAACGCATGGGTGGAACACGGGGACATTGACGTTGAATAGTGTGATGTGATCGTGGTCATCCAACGGTCCAAAGAAATGGACTGACGTCAATGTTTTTTCTAGTTACCTCACAAATAGGTCTTCCCCTCTTCGTCAAACACGAGCTTTAAAACATGACATGCATGCAAGTTGTTTCTCTGGATGCAACTCACCGTCGTTGTGTGCTGGATTGACTCAGTGAAGATCAAGGTCTCGGGTAAAAACGGTCAAAATCTATTGTTTATATCTTGGCTAAGATTTTGGTTACCAATCGAAATTTTGAGATATCGAGCGGTTACCTAGTTTATTTATGCCCCAAGAGTAAAATGTATACCAAGCCCAAAAAATCATTTTAATCAA